TTCACTTTCCTCTTTGGCCCCATAATCTCCTTGATCAGAAAATTTGGGACACAAATGAGTTACATGTCGTTACAGTACAAGTTCTCATATGTCCTGAGTCTTAATTGACCTTGGAAGGCTAGGGCCAAAATGTTGGCTTTCCTTGTGGCCCTCCTTTTTAATAATTGGGTTTTAACAAGATGAAAGTAATAGTGGGAAGGAGGCCAATGAATGAGGAAACAGAAGCACAGGTCTTCCTGACTGAGTTAATTGGAGGGGACTGGAATGAGGATGAGGACAGAGCTGGATAATTTATAAAGATTGTAGGAAGAGTGCAGGGAAGTTTGTATTCCCACTCATATTTTGAAAAATGATGAGACTGAGGCCAAGGTGTTCAATGATTTTCCCCAGATCCTACAGCAAGGGAGAGGCAGGAAGCAAGTGCTTGCACGGCACCCAGCCTTATCTTGCTCCAGAGCTAAGATCCCACTGGCTAAGTGACTAAAGGATGTGATTAGGTAACCCATGCAAACCTCAATGCCAAAAAAAAAAAAAAAAAAAAAAAAAAAAAAAAAAGCTGTGGCATCTGAAAGGGAGAGACATCAAAGCATTAAGCACCATCATTTTAACAGTACTAAGACAAAAACAAAAAACCTGAGAAACCATGCTGGTGATTCTCAGGATGAGCTGGTTTCCAGGTGCATTTCTGGGAGCAGGGAGACTTGGAGTAATCCTGGGAGAAAGAAGTGAAGATCAGGTATTGGGAACTGAAGGATGCATCAGGGGTCCTCCTCAGGGGAGACTTTAAATAAGTGAACCAATAAAGCAGAGTGGCCACAGAGGACAGAGGAGACTGCATGCATCTGGCTATGGAAGGACAAAGATGTGAAGTGGCCCATCAAACTTATGTGGAAGATTTGCACTTTGGAAGATGATCAGTATGAAGCTTGTGTAGCAATATGAAGAGATAAGTCACTGTAACAGGCTGTTGAGAAAAGGAAGTAAGGGGGAAGGAGAATGTGGAGAGAACCACACTTAATTGGCTCATGGAGAAGATTACACTGCTCCATAAAATTATGTTGTGTAGTTCTCAGAGCAGGCCATTCAAGTGGCATTTTCGTGTCTTTTCCCCCTTTTTCCTTTTCTTCCCCTGCCCTCCCTCCTTCTTTCTCCTTCATCCCCCTCCTTCTTCCTTTTCTTCCTAATTTCATTCTTTTCGAGAAGTGACCAATGCAAAGTTTGAGAAGATGAGTGAACACATGTGGAAAGAGGCAGGGATGGCCGGGAGGGGTACAGTAGTCTTCGGACAGCAGATTCTTTCTCCCTGCTGGCCTGAACGTGGGGAGCTGTATTGGCTGGGGACACAGACTCCCTCTGATGTGAATCCCTGCCAGCATCTTCTGACGATTTGAGGACAGGGCAGGTGTGGCCTGCACGGACTCAGGGGTGTCTCTTCAGTTTGTCAGGTGTGCCTACGTCATCATCATCATGGCCATTTACTGGTGTACGGATGTCATCCCGGTGGCTGTCACCTCCCTCATGCCTGTTTTACTCTTTCCACTCTTTCAGATAATGGACTCCAAAGAGGTGAGCAGACACAGGGTCCCTGGTGACTTCCTGGTTCTGTCATAGACTCCTTCCTTTTCCAAGCCCCTTTCAGAGTTGTCTAGACCTGGGGGCAATCAGACGTTATCCCCTCTCCCCCAGAGATTGCCCCATGAATGGAGACAGACAGCTCCAAGCTGACCCTGACATCAGCATCTGGTCTGTTAGCTTGTCTCTGGGAACTTGGGTGGCTCTAGGCCCAAGCATCATGTGGCCAGGAGAAGGGGTGCCCTGACATGTCCTCCACACTGCCCTCCAGGTTTGTGTGCAGTACATGAAGGACACCAACATGCTGTTCCTGGGCAGCCTCATCGTGGCGGTGGCTGTGGAGCGCTGGAACCTGCACAAGAGGATCGCGCTGCGCACGCTGCTTTGGGTGGGAGCCAAGCCCGCGCGGTAATTACACCTCTCTTTCTGGCTATGTGGTCTGCGTGAGCTCCAGGGCTGGGGAGAGCAGTGTGGTACACACCAGCTATTCTCCAGGGGTGAGGGTGGGCTGGCTATGGCTTCCCTGGATGTGTCAGGCTGGTCCCTGGGTGGAGCATGTTTCAATCTTAGTTGGAAACCAATACCCAGATGGTGGCAGCAGGTGGTGAGGAAGCTGGTCAGCAGGGGCCTGACATGGTGGGGTGGGGGGCTCCCCGGGAGTGCAGCTGCAGAGTTCCACAGGGAACAGCGGGATGGAGTCTGGATTAAGCCATGCCTGGTTTGCAAGTAAAGCTTGGAGTCATCTTTAATTTCATGGGTTTATGAGCTCAGTCTGTGTGGACAGAAGCTTGAACCTTATGCAGAGCACCCCCAGGCTCTCCTCGGGGCCTTCCCTCAGGCAAACTGGCAGCCCTGAAGGAGAACCTGAGCGCAGAAGGGTCTGGAGACCCAGAGCAGCTAAATTGTACCCTGCTGCCCTCCCTGAGGGCCTTCTGCTTCCGACCTCATCACACGGGAGGTGTAAAGCCCTGAAGAAGAAGCAGGCCCTGCCCTACTCTCAAGCCTCAGAACACAGCAGGCCTGGACACTGATCCTCTGGACCCTACCCAATGGGGAGTACTGGGGGAAAACAGGGAAGGGCATGGCCTGCCCTACCAGGCAGGCACTCAAGGAGGCCACAAAGGAGGAATGATGTCTGAGAGGGTGTTGAAGAACCGTGAGGGGGCTTCCTAGGTAGACCGCTGAGTGAGAGCTGCAGTAAAAGATGATGGGTTATAAGCGAAGGGAATGTGTTTTCTGAAGAGTTCAATTTGGTCCATGGCAAAGTATGGTGTGTGTGGGCTTGGGGTGGCCACAGGAAGGCCACACTTCCCTGAGCTCGCCGTACCCTCGCAGGCTGCCTGCATAACCCTTCGAAACTTCCGAAAGGAGAGATGTCTAGGATGGGGAGGCTTTTCTAGGTGCAAGTAGGAAACTGGGGCTGCCTGCACACACCCAAATCATCCTTGGAACATGCCATCCATATTGAGCCAGCGGTCTGGTTGTCTACACTTCTCTTGCTAGACAGAAACTCCTTAGAATCAAAGCTAGAACTGCTTGAAAGGAACTATTGTCATTCTCCTATTATCTTGTTTTGAATTTTTTTTTTCATATTTTTTCTCTTTACAATTAAAAAACAAAGATCCAGGGCTGGGTCTGGGGTGTCAGGTTTTGTCAATAATGTGCGTGAGGCGGGTGCAGGAGGTAGAAAGGAAAGAGGGAAGCAGGGAACGAGGTGGGGCACTCACACTGGAGTCCCTCTTGGAACCCTCAGTTTTGCTTGGCTGGCAAGGGGTGGCCCCTGGGAGACATGGATCCAGGGGACATGGGGCACCCCATGACTTTCCTCCCTGTGCCTTTTCTGCAGGCTGATGCTGGGCTTCATGGTGGTCACAGCCTTCCTGTCCATGTGGATCAGCAACACGGCCACCACGGCCATGATGGTGCCCATTGTAGAGGCTGTGCTGCAGCAGATGGAAGCCACAAATGTATCCTCTGAGGCCAGCCTGAGGGTACTGGAGCTGGTGGACAAGGGCAAGGCTGGACAGTTGCCGGGTGAGCCGCTGGCCAGGGCACTCTAGGGGACACAGTGGCGCCTTCCCTCGGTTGCCAAACGTTCCCTCTCTTCCTCTCTATTTCCTATAGATTCCTTTAAAATATGAATAGAGAAAGCAACTTAGGAAATACTGTTCTCATAAGTTTTAGGAGTGTGACTGTTGTCAAAATAGTTGGATCCTTTAGAGCCAGACATAGTAGTGACATCTGTAATCCCAAAATGCTCAGAAGCTGAGGCAGGAGTTTTGCAAATTTGAGCCCAGTTTGAGCAATATATTGACTTAGCAAGACACCATCTCAAAATAAACTATAAACAATGGGCTGGGGAAATAGCTTAGTGCAAAAGCCCTGGGTTCAAAACCCCATACTGTTCAAAAAAGTCCTTTAGTAGAGCTTAGAATGTTGCATTTCCATTAGTAAGAGCTTATGGAAAGATTCTACTCTGAGCTCCTGAGAATCACAAAAATCAGCTAAGCACTTATTGGATTATTCATCAGGGCATCTTTCAAATACCCGCTGGGTGCCCCTTACCTCTTGCTCCTCCTATGGTCTTCATGGAGGCCTTTACTGACCTTGAGCAGATTGAATTCCTCTCTACCGCTCCCACAGGTCTTGGGGTTGGTGTGCTATCAATGTTTGCTCCCTGCTAAAAGCAAACAGAGAGCCCAGGGAACATAGGTAGTATCCATCTGGTTTGCCTTTTGCCTGTTCCCTACCAATCCCCAGGACCTTACATGGGGGAACTCAGGACCCATGGCTGATAGCTTGATTGCCAGACCCTATGTGAGGTCTGCGATTGCAGAGCTGACCAGGAGCACATCAGCTTCTGACTCATGGACCCCAGTGGGGTGGCATTAATGGGCCCCTCACAAGGATTTTCTGCCCAGCAGAGGCCACAGGGGTGGGTGCCATAAACTGGATACTTCAGAAGCCTGGGAATGGGAGAAATTTTGCTAGAAGAGGCATCTGAGGTCGATTTGGACAGTAGGGAACAGTCTGAGCAACAGCAAGGGGTCAGGACAGAGGCAACATGGATATTGTCTGAAATTGCTGAGTTTGGCAGGAGCGTGGAGGAGCCCTAGGGAAGCCATGGAAAGTGACCTTGGGCAGACATATGGAGCCTGATTATGATGTTGGCTGGAGGCCAGGGAATGCACATGGAAGCACCTGACAGGGTAGGGATGTCCCTGTCCTCAGGTTAGCAGCAGGACCAGGAGGTGAGGTTTGCTGGGCAGCCCCCATGACTGGTTCAGCTAACAATGCTGTGCCCACCACAGAGAACCAAGTGAGTTTTGAAGACCCCACCATGGAGAAGCAGGAGGACCGGGTCAGGAAGAACATGTGCAAGGCTATGAACCTGTGCGTGTGCTATGCAGCCAGCATTGGGGGCACAGCCACCCTGACTGGGACAGGACCCAACGTGGTGCTCCTGGGCCAGATGAATGAGTGAGTCACTGGCTGTACTTTCAAAGAACACCAGAGCGGGCCCCTTTCAGGCTGGAGAGACCTACTTGCCTTTCTCTCCTCTTCTGTTGGGTGCTGGAGTGGGGAGCCCAGCAGGGGTGGCTTGTACCCCACCCAGCCTCTGTGTCTCAGCACCCCTGCTCCATTCAGAAGCATTTAAAGGGATGAGGGAATGTAGATTCAGTAGGGAGTGGACAATATAGCATAGATACCTGGGTTAGAATTTGTAGAAAATCAACATCCCTACAAGAACCCTTGAGTTAATGTAGTTTCCTCTGTAAGGTACCAGGCAGGCCCCGAAGGCACTTTGGAATTTTCCAGCCTTGGGCACAAAGGGACCCTGGCCATGGGGATCCTATATCTGTGCCTGGCCCTGTGCTGGGTGGGTCTGGGATCATGAAAGTGGGAGAAGCCTTGGCCTGCCATGAAGTTCTCAGGGTCCTGGAGGATGTCAAATGTCGGGGAGCACCAGGCTGAGCTGGTAGTGAGTGTGCTGTGGTGTGTACAAACTGTAGTGGTTAGGGCAAAAGGTGGCACAGACTAGAGCTGTAAACAGGGGTCAGGAGGGCAGCTGGCCAATGTGCTGGGAAGCAGAAAGAACAGGCCTGCAGTCAGCAGGACAGAAATTCAAGGTTCAACAGCCAGACTGCTTAGATCCTGGGAGTGTCTCTGTAATGACCTCTTTAGGGTTCTCTCTTAAATTCTTCTAGAGAAATCAGCCTGTCTGGTCTGAGTATGGAACATTGTGTGTCTGTTTGGACATCTTTGGGGTAAAGCTGGTAGCCCCTGGGATAACAGGGGACTGGGCTGGGAAGTGGTGCCTAGGGAACACCTTTCAGTAACATCCTGAGATACTGTTGAGCTTTTCTTCCCTAGGGAGGCCCTTCCTTTGCAAAACCCACATGGGGAGAGCCCTAAGGCACCTGTGGATCCCCTGAAGCTGTTGGCCAAGTTATGTGTGCATGTGCACAAGACTGTATTTCTCTAGAGAGATGGACAATAAGTTTTGTGAGATTTTCAGCAGGGACTGGATTCACAGAAGGGCCGATTGGTCATTCCTCAGCCTCATCCTGTAACATGGCCATGTTCTGGGCCTACACTTGACTAGAGGGTAATGTGGGCAATGGAACTTGGGTAGCTGGGTCCTGGGAGTAGCAGCCTCCACCTGCGCCCTCCTCTCAGTGTCCAGCAGGCGTTCAGCCTCCAGCCCCAGGGCCCACACTGCTTCCTGCAGCTCAACTTTGGCTTGAGGTACAGGCTGGTGCCTTTCCTTTCAGGCTGTTTCCTGACAGTAAGGATCTGGTGAACTTTGCTTCCTGGTTTGGATTTGCATTCCCCAACATGCTGCTGATGCTCTTCCTCTCCTGGCTGTGGCTCCAGTGCATTTATATGAGATTCAAGTAAGTTTGAACAGTTCCCAGATTACCCTCTGATCATGCCACACCCTTTCATAGAACCCTCAGCCTCCAGCCAATGAATGTCTTCATTTGAGGGAATTCCCCACTCCTGCCACCCCAGGCTGCACACTGTGTCTTTGCATGCCTTGTTCCTTCTGTCTGGGTGACTATTTCCAACCTTCCAACCTGCCCTACTCCCCAGTCTGTTCAAATGCTGCTTTCTTGGTTACTCCTTCCTTCATCCCTACTCAGAAGAACTTGCTTCCCACTTGGAGCTGTCCCAGATATGTTATAGCTCTAGGGCTATGCACCATGGCTCCCAACCCAGGGAGAAAGAGCAAGCACTCAGATAGAAACCTGTCCCCAGGTGCCCAGTCAGCACTGGTGGACAAACTGCCACTGGGTTGCGTGGGTCTAGTAGGCCAGGTCACAGCAGCCTTCTGATATTGTCCAAATCAATCCAAAGCAGGAGCTTTGCTGAATGCTCGCAGTGTTCCCAGAAGTGTTCTGTCCTAGAAAGTTTACCCTCCTCTTCCCAGCACACGGTCAAGTTGAGACAGACTCACCCTTGACAGCAGCCAGACTTTGGACAGAAACCATGACGTGTGGCTAACGAAGCTTTTTTAAATGTTGTTATTTTAAAAGACACAAATGTGTACGTGGCACAAAGGTGGAAAAGACTGCGTGAGCAGCTAACTGCGTCTGTGCTGGGCCTCACTTCCCAGGGAGCTTGTGCCGAGTAGAAGCAGTGGGGTAAAGGAAAAATGCCCGTGGAAAGCTGGGATTTAAAGGGGAAAATGGTGTGCTCCCCTGTGTTCTTTGGAAGAGGAGGAGGAACTGTTTTGAAAATTGTTTTTAAAAATCCCTGGACACATTCAAGATAGAATAATGATTAATAGTAGAGGCAACACCCCCATGCTGCACACTGGCCTCTTGTCCGCTGCCCTCCTTTCTGTCTCACTCCTGTTGAGAGGGCAGCCGCTTCCCTCCTCGCTGCCTGGCACAACTTGGCTCTGATCACAGCTCTGTTCACGCTGCTTCTCAAATCTGTGCCAGCTCTGCACCAAGGATCTGCTCATTTACACCTGTCTTCCCAGCCAATCTGTTAGGAGATGGCCCCAAACCTACTGCAGGTGGGCATCTGTGTCCCCTCATGGGGCAATGGAAAGCACAAGGCCCAACATGCGTTGATGCCTGATACACCAGACACTATTTTAATGCTCTATATTTGTGAATCTCATTAATCTTCACAACAGTACCTATGATGTAGGTACTATTATTAGCAGTGCCAGTTTACAGGTGAAGCAGCAGAGGCCTGGAGAGGCTAGATGGCCTATGCAGTTTGGTATGGCATGGGAGCCCAGGCCTGAGATTGGCATGCAGGCAGATCTCCTGCAGAGCCTGTGCTTTCCAGCCACAATCCTACATTCCCTCCTGGGGAGGCCAAGGGTTGCTGACCTGGCCAGCTCCAGGGGCCAAGCATACCAGGTATCGTGAGCACTAACTGTGGCCTGGCAGCTTCTGTAAGGCTTCAAGGCCACGTAGGAAGAGGGAGCTGGCCTAGCATCAAGACCACAAGGGCACTATCAGCCTGCCATCTAACAATGAGGTGGATACCATGTCCTTGAAAGCCCAGCCAAGAACTTAAAGTTGTGGTTCCACAGCCTGGTACAGCCTCCATCTGGGCCCCTGGACCAGCAGAGCCTACAGGGCGGATAGTGTGCTGCTCTACGAAGGGCAGAACCTGCTGGTGGTGGAGGAGAAGAGCTGTTGTGCAGCATTCCCCACTTCTTAACATGGTGCTCTGGCTTGAACATGGAGTAGGCACTGGGTCGCAGGTAGCCCAGGCTCAGGTCTGAATCTGGGAGGCAGAGGACAGATTACTGCATGCAGGATGATAGCAGCCCTGCAGCATTCCACGACCTGGGGATGCCTGTCCACCTCTATGTCCTCCTGGATCACATTACCTAAGGCCAAAGAGTGCATGTCTCAGTCAAAGGAAGACCTAACCTCTTTTCTGTCTGTCTTTTTCTTAAATTTTTCACCTGAAGAGTCATGGAGAAAAATATCAAAGGCTTGACATCTAGTTTAATTCAGAAAAACTCTTGCTCCATTTATGGGCAACCTGATAGGTTATATTCACTCAGGACTGCCATGGACACTACCCCCCCAGGACTACTAAGAATGACATGGGACATTCCTGCTGGATTACACCTGTCACAACTGGGTTAGCCACCAGAAAGATGGATGAATGTCCTTATGAGTATTCTTCCTAACCCCTCCCTAGTATGGCAGAGACTCATGGGGCCTCAAAGACCCCTTTTCTTCTTGGCTTCAAAGTCTATTCAGTCCATGCTGCTTCATGATGAAGGCCATTCTTCAGGGAGATGTTGAACCCCAACTCCAGGGCTCCCACAGGCCAACTAGACCTTGTATCTTAATCAACCCAGCATTCACCAGGTGAAATGCACACAGACACGAGAGTGCAACTGCTTCGCATAAGAGGATGAGATGTGGTGGCACCACTGTGGGGAACTGCATCAGAAGCCTGAACAGTCCATACAGCCTCAGCATTTGTGTGGCATTGGGGACATGTTGTCAGGACCATTCAGACTCAGGCTTCTTACTGCCTGTCTCATGCTAGGTAATGAGAAATAATCCCGGAAATCTTTGGCTTATGGCACAGCCTTCTTATAAGATGACATTGGTATCAGGTCCATGGTTGGAAGAACACAGATGATAGAGGCAATGATGGCAGAGAGGCCCCCTCCCCTGAGAGCAGAGTCATCCCCTGCCCAGTGATCTCATGACACAAGGCCTTGCCCCAGACCTTGCTGGAGGCCTGGCCAGCTGTGCAGACCTGAGGTCCTGTCTTTGCTATTTCTTTCCTGACCTCTGAGCTCCCAGGAGGCCATGTCCCAGTGTCCTAGTGTCCCTCTGCCATAGACCACATTATCTCCACTAGAATGGCTCTCATGTTCTCAAAGGCAATTTGACATCCAGCCCTAGTGGGTTTGTTTTGCTTGTTTGTTTGTTTGTTTGTTTGTTTATGTTAAGGAAGGGTCTACAGGGTATTCAGGGTCTCACTACTAGCTCGGACTCGTAGTGACTCTCCTGTTTCAGCCTCCCAAGAGCTGGGATTATAGGCACATGCCACCACACCCAGTCTCAATTGCTGTCTCAGCGCACCCCCGAGGGTGGGGCCGGAACAGCAGGCCTGAGGATTGAACCCCTGGCCCATGTGCCTGCTTGCAGGCACTTTAATCTGCTCAGCTATTTGGCTGGCCCCAGCCCTGATGTTTGGAACCATTATGTATTCCATCCACTCCATCTGTCCTGTGAATTTTACCGTAGGAAGACTTGCAAGGAAGACTCTTCAGGGACAATGCTCTTGGCCTTGTCCACCTGCTCAGACCAACAGTGGGCAGAATTATAAGTGGAATCCTCAGAGGACACCCTGGGGTCTACTGTGCATCAGTAGTTCCAGTTACCTCTCCCCATAGTTAAGTTACCTTCTATGACTCCACCACAAGCTTCCTCCTCTTTGCCCACTCAGGCCAACACCATCATGAGGGGAGGTCCTACATGGCACTTTAGCTGGGTCCATCCACCCATGGGTCACACTAGGAGGTCCATCCAAGGACATAGACTGAGCTAGCCTCCTTCCTGCCCTGGTTACCAGGAACCTCCCAGGTAGCCCTTGCTAGTGACAGCTTCACTTTGCTGATTTCTGTATACTATCCTCTTTTTTTTTTTTTTTTTTTTGGTGGAACTGGGGATTGAACTCAGGCCCTTGTGCAAGCACTTATTCTACTGAGCTATCTTCCCAGCCCTTGTATTTGATCCTCTTGTTCTGCTCAGTTTCTCATCTTCCTGGCCACTCTCTCCTTTTCAGCAGCAACTACCTCTGAGACCTGGTTGAGACCCACCACCTCTCCTTTAACATTGCAGGCCTCCTTTGGGCAAATAACCTGAAGCTCTGGAGCCATCCCTGGGGAATGCTCTGGGCATTCATTTATCTACCTCTTCACAAACTTTCCCCATGATGTCCTAGGAGGGAAGGAGGCAGATAAAAGACATAGAAATAAATAGGGAGGAAGAAACTTGCTCCAGGACCTGCAGCAGCTGGGATATTTGGCTTCTGTGTCACCTACGCCTAAGTCAACCCATCTGTCCTACCATTCTCTCATCTTTGCCTTCTCCAGTTTTAAGAAATCCTGCGGTTGTGGGATACGCAACAGGAATAAGGAGAAGGCTGCCTATGAAGTGCTACAAGCAGAGTACAGGAAGCTGGGCCCCTTGTCCTTCGCTGAGGTCAACGTCCTAGTCTGCTTCCTCTTGTTGATCGGCCTGTGGTTCTCCCGTGACCCTGGCTTCATGCCAGGCTGGGTGTCCATTGCCTGGAAGGAGGATAAGAAAATGTAAGTGTTTGTTTGGCAGAAGCGCCTGCTTCATTATCGTGGTGCCTGGATGCTGCTCTTCTCTGGTACAGCTGGCAAGAGGAAGGTGTGGGGTTGGGCCCTTTGTTCTGAAACTGGATTTTAGAAAGCACTTTGTTGGTTTCATAACTTATTTTCCTTCCTGACCAATATTTATGGTGAGACCACAAAAGCGCTTGTTTTTGTAGCACCCTCTGCAGAAATGCATGGTCAAATAGGGTTTGGCCCAAGCCCTGATACAGACAGTTTATTGGGCTAGGACCTGGTCATCTAGAATCCTGCTTCCAAATCTCTACACTGCCATCTTCCTTTTTGATCTTTCCTTAGATCCCTCTCAAGATATACATCCCAAGGTTTAGAAGCTGCTTAGGTAGAAACTTGGCAAAAAGGAGTCTCTCTAATAGCCCTGATGTTTCCAGCATAGAAGAAAGGTAGAAAAACAAACTTGTATATCCCAGAAATGGGAGGAGATTCAGGCAGGTAGATGCTGCCTGCAACTGGCCATTCCATTTTGATCAGCACCAAAGTCCTCGAGGTCACCCTGATAAGCCCAGGATATTAAAGAACCTAGAGAAGAAGTCACAAAGCTCACCCATGAAGCAGTGCAGGGTGACAGAGGCAAGTGAGCCACTGAGAGTCATCGAAAGCTGGTGGTCAAGAATGGGGGCATAAAAAAAAATGGGGCTGGGGAGATGGCTCAGTAGAATAAGCACTTCCCTGGCAAGTGCAAGGGCCTGAGTTCTATCCCCAGTTCTGCCAAAAAGAAAAAAAGAAAAAAGAAAAAAGAATGGGGACATCTTGATTTCTACCCAGGGTCAGTCTCCCACACTATCCTGAACTTGGCTTTGAGGCTCCAGTATTCATACCCAGTGAGTCTGTTTCTCCATACAGAAGCTTTGAGACACAGAACTGGCCACGTTAGGTTGGGGTTTGTGCATGGCTGTCACTGCAGCAGCCAAGCTGGGCTAAACTCCTGCATGCTCCTTCCTGCCTAGGTATGCCACTGATGCCACTGTGGCCATCTTTGTGGCCATCTTGCTATTCATTGTACCTTCACAGAAGCCCAAGTTCAACTTTGGCAGCCAGACTGAGGAAGGTAAGGCTCCTGTGCCAGCCTTCCTATCATCTGTATTGGGGCTTCAGGGCAGCAAATGATCTCCATGGGACGGGCCCTGGGCCTATGGGAGGAGAACATCCCATCCCCCAAGAAGCCTGACCACATTACAAAAGCAGGGGGAGATGGGGATTTCTGAGCCAATAGTGGTATTATTTAGAGCAAAACCTCTTCTCTTGCTTTTTAAACATGTGAGAGCTTATTCATATTATAATAGGGGCGGAAAGTGTGTTTCAAATTTCCCATTACAGCATCAGTACCTTTTGGTTATTGTTTTCTCTCTTCTTCCCTGTGTTGTTAATAAGCATATATATATATATATATATATATATATATATATATATATATAATTAAAACATACAGTTTGAACATTATATCTTTATTGTTTGGGGTTTTTGGTTTTGCATGAGACTACAATTTTTTTTAACTATTCTCCAATAAAGCATTATATTAGAGAGGCTATAACCATTCTCCTGCTCTTGGACATTTTCCCTGTTTGAATTTGTCATCATTGTAAATGAATGTTTTCTCACATGTAGCATTTTCTTCAAGGATGTTTCTTCTTTAGGATAAATTTTAGTAATGTTATTACTGAGGTAAAATAATATTATAAATGTCCTAATAGTTTTTTAAATGCATGCATTTCAAAAAGATTGTTCCAGTTTATAATACCATCAGCAGAACGATTTACCAAATCCTCCTCAGCAATGAATATACAACAATTATTGTAAATTTTAGCTAATTTATATGTTTCAGCTGGTACCTCATTATCCTTAGTGGCTTTATTCCCCTTGATTTTGTGTACTTTGTTTTCTAATGCTGCTCTGGGTTGAGTGTGTGTTTGCTTTTTCTTGTCAGAAATGAAAACTCCATTTTATCCCCCGGCACTGCTGGATTGGAAGGTGACGCAGGAAAAAGTGCCCTGGGGCATTGTGCTGCTCCTCGGGGGTGGATTTGCCCTGGCTAAAGGATGTGAGGTAACTTCTCTTAGGGCCCTCTGACTCCAGCAAGAGGGTGGCTGAGCTACCATGTTCCTCTACTTCTCTGTCTGTAGGCTTGGATTTCTGTGTCTTTCTCCTCACAGAACTGTACATTCTTTGGGGTCAGACACTCATCACTTGTACAACTAATACTGTCTGGAAGGGAGAAAGCATTCTCTCTCTCTCTCTCTCTCTCTCTCTCTCTCTCTCTCTCTCTCTCTCTCTCTCTCTGGTACTGGGCATCAAACTCAGGACCTTGTGCTTGACAGGCAGGTGCTTATGCCACTGAGCTAAGAAAGCATTCCTGAATGGCTGCAGAAATGAGTAGATAAGTGAGTCTGGATAGGCAAGAGAGAGGAAGAGGTTGCTGTCAGGGCTCTTTGGGGTCTAGTAATAATGCTCTCTACTTTGATTTATTCTAGGGAGATCTTCCTTTCAAGATCTCATAAATATTTTCACCATTTCCTTTAGTCCTTCTGCTTCTGGAATGCTCAATTAACAGGGTTTTTAATTTAGAATGTTTTTTCTAACTAAGTCTATAACAGAAATAGGGGAGACACACAGCCTTTAAGGAAAATACCCCCAAGTATAACTTTCTCTACCTCCTTAATTTTTTTCCTGGGAAAAAACTAGCCAGAGGGACAGATGGGCTAGCTTGGTACTGCAATATCCATCCATCTATTCATCCATCCATCCATCCATCCATCCAACCATTCATCCATCCTCTACGCATCCAGGGATGGACTATAACAGATGTGGTCCATCTTGTGCTTGCTATTTCTTCAACATCTAGGACATAGCCTGGTGTATAGTGCAGATATATATACAGAGATATAGATATATAGATATAGATATAGATATAGATATATAGATATATATATCCACTATTTTTTTTCAGTGCTGAGGATCAAGCCCAGGGCCTCATGCATGCTAGGCAAGTGCTCTTTTGCTAAGCTACATCTCCAGTCCAATTCATATTTTTTGGAAGAACAAATTCATATTCATCCTTTCACCTTTTCTTTTCTCCATCTATCATTTTCTCTGAATACATGTATCTATTACGTCCCTAGTGTTGGTCTAGGCACAGAGATTATAGAGGGTGTAGAAACATAGTCCTCATTTTTGAGGACCTGATAGCCTAGGGAGGGTGTATACCTGGAAAAGTATTTCAGGAAGAAGGAAAAAGAAGTGTGAAGTGTCTAGCTGAAGAGCAGACAAGTGTGGGAAGGCCAGCAGATTCCATTTCCCTGAGGGCCTTGGGTTTAGGATGGAGAACACAGACTTGATTCTGAAGGTGGTACAGAACCACCAAGGGGCAAAGACCAGGGAGGGGGTGACTTAGTGAGATTTGCATTGATAAATATCCCTCTGCTATCTGATATGGAGTTCTGGGGAAGGTAGAGATTAGAACAGAAGCATCTTTGTAATCTTCTCCTAACTCGGCCTCTGAAGTTAGACCCCATGGGGACATTCTCTCCTTAAGCTCGCCCTGCTCTAAATTGGCTTCTAAGACACTACTTTCTCAGGCTTTTCTTCTGATTCTATTTCTGCTCAGCCTTTTCTGCTGATCATTCCTGTTTCCCCTAAAATACTGATGTCCCAGAAGACTCTGTCCTTGACCCTTTGTTGATTTACTTTTCATTCTCTCCTTGGACAATCTTTCTCAGTCCAAAGACCAAATCTAAATCCCCAGTGTCTGGCCCAAATCATTTCTCTGAGCTTTGAGAGCCATGGAGGACCAAGAAGAAGAAGTAGATGTGAGATATTCTGGGTGACTTGGCAACCGATTGGAAGTAAGAAATGAGGATGACAGACTCCCCTGTGGGACTCCCAGAACCCTGGGTTGGATAGCTGTAGACAGCTAGGGAGCCCTGAGGAGAAGCAGACTTTGGGCTAAAGAGAAGGAATCCTGGTGGAATGTGTGTTGAGTCTGGTATGCGAATGGGCCATCTGGGTGGAAATTTCTAGAAGGCATATTCATATCGATCTAGATATCCAGATAGATTTACTGGGCTAGCAATCAAGCATTAAGAGATGGCAAGTGGAGGATATAGATCAAAACTATGGAGTGATTCATATCATTTATGAAATATCTGCAAGACAGAAAATTGGGAGTAGAGGGTGGACTGAGCTCCCCACCCTAGCCCCTCTGCCCTGAACTGATTGCCTTTCCTGTTCTTCTCAGGCCTCAGGGCTCTCTGAGTGGATGGGGAGGCAGATGCAGCCCTTGAGCAGTGTGTCCCCTGCAGCCATTACCTTGATCTTATCCTTGCTTATTGCTGTGTCCACTGAATGCACAAGCAATGTGGCCACCACCACCCTGTTTTTGCCCATCTTTGCCTCCATGGTAAGTACCTCTTTTCTGGGAGGGGGAGTCATTTCATAGGAAGCTGTCAACCTTAATCATATCCTGGATCCCTAGAGAGGGTATGAAATCAGGTGCCAGGCTTAGAGACCAGAGCCTGGCCCTGGCTCTGACATAAACTTGAGCACCCTTAACCACCTTGGTCCTGAGGCCCTTACTGTCATGTCTTTGTATAACCCCTTTTGTAAAGCAGCAAACAGACCAGGTGTTCAAATAGCATATAAACCTAACTAGATGATTTTGCAAGCTTGGGAGGCAAGGTTTGTGCCAAGGAGGAGAGACCAATGCTCTGAACATGCTGCACAAGGGCTGTAAGGCACTTCCAGGAACACCACTGACTTAGACCCACAGGAAGAGGCCTTGGAGGAGGTGGGGCTTTGGGTATGAGTGAGAGAGAGGTCATTTGGTGAAGGAGATGGAAGGCATGACTGAAGACTCCAGAAGGCTTACTTGGAGAGCCGAGGGATGAAGGACCAGTGTGAATCGAGCCAAAGAGGACACTAGTAGTAGAGAAGAAGGCCACTGAGTGTTAGCCACAGTGGCTTGTTCTATGGGCAGGCATGATTTTGAGTTGAGATTGAGAAGAAAACAGAGCAGATAGGAAAATGGACTGCCATCCTTTCTTCTGCCTCCTGCCATTCACTGGAAAGCAGTACTGACCTCAGGGTGGTATGGGAGGAACCCTGGGCTTAGACTCAGAGGACCTGAGTTCCCTACATTTGCCACCGAGTCCTTTTCCTCCTAGAGGTGCACTGAGGGTCCATAAGAGGAGGCCCATGAAAAGCCTCTGCAGACTGCATGGGAGCTTGGGAGAGGCTGTAATTATTTTGGGGCTGGGAGACTGACTCACAAAGGGCCTGAACAGAACACTCAAATTGGTAAATTTCCATCTGGTTACCCGGGCTTCCGCATGCATAAAGAGCAAACCTAAGTGGTTTGTCTGCCATTCCAAGTGAAGACGAAAGTGTTAAATATAGTAAGGTGGCTGTCTCTTCCTCACCTAAGCAGGCTATCCAGACAGAGGCCAGGGAAGAGAGGGAAGAGGAAGAGAAGAAAAGGAAGAGAAGGAGAGGGAGGAGGATGGGATGGTTAGGAGGAAGACTAGGGGAGGAGAAAGGAAGAGGGGACTTTTGGTGCTGGACATGTGGTAGGGATGATTCTTGTTCCTGAGCAAACGCTCAAGCATTGCCATCTCCAGCTCTTACCACGAACACCAATGACCCCAGTCAGACAAATGCAAGTCTTAATTCATAGAGGTAGCCAAGTCCTTTGAAAACAAGCTTTTTATAAACCCAGAAGCCCTGAGTAAGATTCCCCAGACATACCTCCATGGCCTCTCCTGCTCTTGCTTGGGAACCCTCTTGTAGGAAAGAGAAAGATATTGGTCATCCAGCAAGGTCCCAGAGGAAGGAGGAGTGCATATGCTGTGTGGTACCCAAAGCCAGGGGAAATGAGGACAGGGAGGGACCAGCAAGCAGCCTGGATCTGCCTGGGACCTCTCAGCCACTCCAAGGTTGCGTAAACCCGGTGCAGTCTGCTTGTACTCTTTTAACTCAGTAATTTCGCATCTGGGAGACTGTCTTAAGAAAATAATGCATACAAGTATAATTAGAATGATCTATAGAATAGAACAATTTATTTGAAATATACCTATAATGATATGGGTTGTGAAATAAATGAGCACATGTTTACATAATGTAACACCACCTGGGCACTAAAACTGGCTTTGGAGATTGTTTAATAATTCATTAATAAAATGAAAACATGTTCATGTTACTGTTGTTTCAAGCATAAAATATAATACATATACATGTCTTTAAATGTCTGATGATACAAAGAAGTATACAGACCTTATTCCTCTAGCTTTCTCCCTAGAAACAACTTGTTATTAAATTTTTAGACAATCTTTTTTGTTATATTACACACACACACACACACACAATTCTTTTCAAATAAGTGGGATCACTCTATGGATATATTATAAACCTTAATTTTTTTGTTTTGAATCCAAACATAGATGTTGGAGATATTTCCACATTAGCACACAAAGCCTATTTTTTCTTTACAGCTGCATACCATTCCATTGTTTATATATACCATAGTTTATTTAACCATCCTGTTATTGATGGCCACTATCTGTTACCTGTGCTTTGTTACACTGTTGTAGTGAGCGTCTTTGCATATATGTGTATGCCCTCATGTGCATGTATTTCTGTATAAGGATTCATTTTGACAGATATTATGAAATATATTATTCATTTATTTCTTTAACAACTGTCTAATGAGTGCTTAGTCTGTGCTGTTAGATGTAGCTGAATTATAAAATGCAGTATGAAAAGGGGGGATACCAAATTCTGGATACAAAACAATCCCAAATGTTAAAAACAGACATTTGTAGATGCATACATAAGTAAGAAGACATGTTCCTCTAGCGCCCGTGACTGGAGAGAAACACACATACCACCACAAGATTCAGTGCAGTGTAGGGGTCTGGCATGGTCTCTAGGCCATCGTAGGTGCCCAAGAAATATATATACATATTGGATAAACTGAGTGGATTCTGAAAGGCCCCTCAGGGGAGGTGTCCTCTCAGCGCAGGCATCAATATTTAGTATCCACCACAGAATTCATTGACAAAAGGCAGAAGAACCAGCAAAACAAAGGCATGGAGGTGGGAATTTATCCTAAGCCTTCAGACAATGCTTTACTGAGTTACGGCTCCGCGTTCTGTTTTGTGTTCTGTGCTGTGAGCTACGCTGCTGTTTTTCCCCAGTCTCGTTCCATCGGCCTCAATCCGCTGTACGTCATGCTCCCCTGTACGCTGAGTGCATCCTTTGCCTTCATGTTGCCCGTGGCCACCCCGCCTAACGCCATCGTGTTTGCCTACGGACACCTCAAAGTTTCTGACATGGTAACACAACTGCTTTTATTTACTCCTCTTAGACTCTGATGCTATTGGCATAAGGGATGCCCCATTAATGAATGATGTGTGAGCTTCATAGAATGGCATGTGACTTAGGAATGCCATGGAATGTCCAGAACTATACCTGTTACTTGCACCTATAATGGAGCTCTTCTTTTTTGAAATTATTTTAAACTCCATAGGCTGTTCTATCTCCACACTGGGAGTCAGAACCTCCCCGCTGGAGAAGCTGCGCAGACACCAGTGGCATCCCCATGGCCAAGGATGGACTTCGCAAACTAACAAGAACCTTGAAGACAGCTGGGAGGGATGAGGCTTAGATTGAGAGGAAATGCTAATGACAGTTGAGACACTTGTGGAGGTGTCTGAAGAGATAGGTGTATGTAAAGGGAAAGACTACTTTTCTGAGCAGATAAAGATGGAGGTAAATAGAGTCACTAGAAGAACTCTCCACAACAGGTTTGCCTTTATTGCTTCTAATGGAAGGACATCTTTGCATCTCTAGGTCAGGGATAAGCAAAGTGTATAGGTGAGAGAATCTGGAAATGAAAGTCCTTACGTTGGGCCAACCAGTTGTTACTATCACAGATACTCTCTCTGAGGCTCCCCAAAGAATTTTCACAGAGAGGGCAGAGGCCAAATCCCAGTTTTAAAAAGTCTACAAGATATTCAAGCAATGATTATTAGCATTAGGAAAGAAAGCAGAGTGGGTATTAGAAAGAACTAGAAGAGGGTCACAAAAGATGCTGCAATGTCTTTGTGGGACACTAAAGTCACAGGGGTAACCACTGGGTCTAGAGTCACATTGCAAGCTCTGCCATGATTTGCTTGAGTGGCTACTACCTGAGGTCACCTCCCTGAAGTTATTTTCTAATGCTTAAGTGGGCAGAGAGAACCTTTTTCCTGCCTCCCTCCCAGGGATACACTGAGCACCGATGACAATGGACACGAGTTTACTTTATCTGGGAATGGGGGTTCCAGAACATGGCCCAGGGACATCGATGTCCAGCAAACTGGCCCTTCATCCATCTCTCCAACTGTCCCCTTTGCCTTTGTTCTGATGAAGCAGCAAACCCCAGGGCGCTGACTCTGACCCTGTTTGTTTATTTACTTACTTATTTATTTTTATTTTTCAGGTGAAAACAGGACTAATGATGAATGTAATTGGAGTCTTGTGTGTGTTTTTGTCTGTCAACACCTGGGGACGGGCCATATTTGACTTGGATCATTTCCCTGAATGGGCTAACATGACACAAATTAAGACTTAGGAAGAGCCACAAGACCATGCACACAGCCTACACCCTCCTGAGGACTCCAAGATTTCCAGTACACCTTACAAAGTGCTTTGGGGCTCGCACCCCAGAGATACTCAATCATGACCACACCCCTCCAAGACTCAGCCAAGGGGTCACTTCTTCCTTCAGGGCTAGAGTCAGAGATGGTGATGGGCAGGCTCAGAAGTGAAGAGATCATCTCAAGAGGAATGGAATCCATTTTCCTGGGGACTGGAAGGCGGGAGAGGAACCAGGACACAGGCTTTTGTACCATGAGGCCTTGGGCAGGCCCCATGCTGGCCCATACTGGACATTGGTTCTTACCTGCTTAGTCCCAGGTACTCCACATGCATATTAGAGATAACTACCTGGCAGTGCCTGTATCTCTGGCTGCCTCAGATCTGTCACTCTGAAGGGGACTACTCAGCCAGGATAGGACATCTGTTCTCAGGCAACCCTCCACTGCTGGGATGACAGCACCTTCGGGAGACTCTCCACCCTCCTCATGATGACTCCTGCTTCCCTTCCCACAGCTCACTCCTGGCTGATCAACACCCCTTTCCCAACTCTCTAGTGACCCTCCTTTCAACTGCTCAGTCTTTTTGCTGTCTGGGACAGCAGCTGTTGAAATCCCCAGGGTCCCCTCTTCTCTCCCAACAAGTTTAGCTCTTTGGGGAAATACCTTTGCCCCAGTTCTGGACAGCTGGGGTCACACTCCGAGTATGGGTGCCATGGCTCTTTGGTGGTCACAGTGGAGTACCAAGGTCTTCCTCACCGATAGGCTCAGAGTGGCTCCAGTGGCTGGGCCACGTCAGAATTTAGCTGTCCATCTGGACTTTCAGCTCTGCTGGTAAATCTCCCCCTGTGTTGACTGGCCAGAGCTCTGGCAGCCAGCTAGAGCATCATTGAGAATGAGAAGTGTTTGGTGGCCCCTAAACCACACTGCCTACCTGGTGGGTGAATCTACCTGAATTTTCAGATAGTAACCACAGAGTAGCATAGAAACTCTGAAGCTCTCATGAGAATGGGAGACATGAGAGGCAACTGCTCTCCTGTTCAATTTCTTTCTCTTTCTTTTCTTTTTCCTTCCTTTCTCCCTTACTTTTTTCCTTCCTTCTTTCCTTTTATCTTCCTTTTCTCCCTTCCTTTTTAATCCTTCCTTCCTTCCTTCCTTTCCTTCCTTTCTTCCTTTTGTCCTTCCTTATATTACTCTGGGAGAGAGTTGGTGGCAGAGATGAGGTCCATGGAAAAATTTTTCAGGGGAGAAAGTATGGGAACCTAATGAAAGCCCATCAAAGACCAAATGTGTATCTAATTCCTTGGGAGGGCAGATTCCTGACCATACAGTTGAAGTTTTGCCCTCATTATGCTCTGTCTCCCATGGAAATTTCCAGCAGGCTGACTTGTCACTGGTTTTCTGCTAGGGGGTGGGCAGCAGGAAGGTGCATGAATGAACAGTTATTCTCTGTAACTGTAGCACCTCCTTGGTGCTAGGCCTTTTTGTATCTGGAGAATCCACTAGTTATCTTATTGGATCTTTGCTGCAACCCTGTGAGACAGGAAGTAGTTATCTTGTCACTGAAGAAAACTAAGGTTCAGAATGGCCAAGGGATATGTCTTATCCTGTTACACATCAAATCAGCAACAGTTATGTTGCAACCTCTGAGGGTAGATCAACAAAAATTGATATGGCACCATGCCCATTGCTTCTTCCTTTAATCATCAAGAGCTTTGACTGATACATGTACAGAAAGATGGCTAGTCCAAGGGCCTGCCTGCAGAGTACTGAACATGAATCTCTTCCAACTGTCTCTTCCAAGATGTGTTCAGGGCAGTGCTGAATTAGACTGAGCTGGTCCTTTCCCTAGAACAAAAGCATAAAGATGAGGCTTCGATTTCCTCTGGATATACAGCCAGCAAGAGGCCATGATGAATGTGACTGCTAAGTAACTGACCCATGTTGTCAGAGGCACACACTTGATGGTAGTGGGTAAGGTCAGTGAAGAGCATCCTAAGTGGGCATTGAAAGATGAGTAAAATGAGCAGGTGTGAGGGAAGGGTTGGCAGGGTGGGCAGAGGCCTCTACCAGGCACCATTTAGTAGAGGAATTATGAGGTTAGGTAGAAGTCTCAGAAAGGCAGAGCCCATATCTGATGAGATGGAGTAAAGGCTATTCCTACATATGCTTCTTGCATCCTGGAATTGTACTCACATTTATGACCTATGGTAATGAGAAATGCTTTTGACTGCATATAAGAGAAAACACAGCACAGAGTGGCTTAAACCATAGAGTTATTTAGTGTTTCCTTTACAGAAATCTAGAAGTACATTGTATGGTAGCTCACTTAAGCCACCAAAGACTTGGGCTCTAGTCTACTGTCATCTTCAGGGATCACATTTTCACCCTCATGCTGGATTCTAGGTTTAACATACATCTTTCTTTAAGACAGAAGGAAAAGGGTTCAGGGTTGGGCCTGACTATGTCAAAGGACATCTTCCCCTTTCATTAGAAAAATACAACCTTCCTCAGAAGCCCCAAGCAGACTCCTCTCTACCCCTTCTTGGCAAGGGCCAGATCACACACCCACATTGTAAACAATCATTGACAAGGAAAGGTGGAATACCATAGGATGAATTGACTCATTTCCTGGAGTTACAGGATTGGTTTTTGTTTTGTCAAATCAAGGGATTTCCCCATTCTGTCAGGGGTGTGGTAGGGGAAAGCTGCTGGGTAGGTGATGGGAAGTATCTGGTGTTCTCACTCTAAGGCCAGTTGAGTGACTCCTTTTCAGTGGAATTCAGGAGGAGCATGTTGCTAACTAGCAAGAGAGCATGAGTCTGGTTAAAAGCTTCAGCAACGCCTGTACTCCAAAAGGCCAGGCCACCTCTGAGGGTAGACCAAGCTCACTGCTAACATCTGATGCCAAACAAGACATTCTATTCTCTTGGCTTCTAAGGGACTTTTCCCAGAGTCACTCCTCCCCCCACTGCAGTTGACCTTACGCTTGCACCAGACAGTCCTTTTCCTGCCCCATCCCCATCAACCAGGCAGTCTCAGCTCATAGCCTGTTGCATGCACCCACTTTCTGCTATCATCCAAGGCTCAGCCACTCGCAGAAGGCTATCTCAGGCCCATCCCCATCTATGTTTTACCTCTAACATTTTGTAAAGAGGTTCTAACCTTGGCCCCCAAACTCCATCTTCTTAGTGTTTGAAGTAGACATTAGGACCTAAGGTTAGCTGAACATGTGATGATTCTGACTAGGGTTGCTCTTTTAATATTTTTCTCAGGGACTATGATTCTATAAAGATTATTGCAAAGCCCCAGCCTCCTGGCTCCTTGCCATCTGATCCCCAAATCAGGAACTCCCGAGGGCAGGCTGAGGTCTTCCTCGAGCTAGCACCTGGACATCCATCTCTGGCAGGGCTGATGAACAGGGCCTCAGCCTGGTAAAGGTGGAATCTTCTCTCTTTTAAAAACCACTTGTATACTATCTGGGAGCTTTTTCTCCGGGTTCCAAACAGGACATTAGAGACTGGGGATTTGGCTCAGCAGTAGAATGCTTGCCTAGCAAGCTAGAAGCCCTGGGTTTGGTCCTCAGCTCCAAAACCAAACCAAACCAAAACAAAATAAAATAAACCTCCTAAATAGGACCTTAACCCACAATCACACAGTACAGTCCTTGAAATGAGTAAGAATGGTCTTGGTAAGACCCTTAATGGCATGGTCTTGATTGGTAAAAATAAAGACCAAACACTGGATTATCTGGTTAAATAATGACATCTCATTGTCTCATTTTTAGTGCAGAATACCTCCTTCCAGGCAGTATTCACCTAGTCCTACAGTCTCTTAAAAGCTTTATTTCTCAACCTACAAGGGAAACATAATGTCTTCACATTAAAAAAAGTTTCGCCCAGATGAATCTTGCACTTTGTGAGATAAGCTTTGACATTATGCAACCAGAAGTTTGTTTCCGGGTGAAATCTTTTCAGTCAAATTTTTAGTCTGAATTTTACTTGTATCCTGAGCCAGGACTCAGGAACTCATTTCCTTGCTCCAGCAACATCTTCCACATGATTTCCTGATATGCTGTCAAAGTGCACACTTCTACCTACAGAGCCACAGCCGCGCCCTGCTGGCAGCATACCCGATTCCAGCTCTCAAGGGTAGAAGAATATTAAAATCTCAGAACATGTTTTTATCCAATCAAGAATTTTAAACTATACTTAATGATAAAAATTTAATATGAACACAGTACCAGAAGTTCCAACAAATACAAGTAGTATTGAGATGTATCCCTCCCATCTCCAACTTTGAGTTCCCCATATCCCTTCCAGAAAGACAACCAAGGTCAATAGTTTCTTACACATCCTCCTAGAGACAGTACATACGTAAGGATTAGGTAAAGGTATATGTTCCCTTTATTACATAAAGAAGCATACTCTGTGTATGCTTCTTATTTCTGTGCATACTCTTTTAGCTTCTGTCCCTCTACGCTGATCTTAAATATTTGTTTGGAGATCATTCTATTTCAAGACATTAAGCTGGGCTAGTATCTTTTCCCATCAATAGTTAATTTTGTCTTTAAGTTGGAAAAAAGTTAAATTCAGGGAATAGCATAGACCTTAAGTGTACAATCCAACGATTTTGACAAATATGTATACCATGTAATTAATACCCCAATTCTGTCACTCTCTTCCAGAATTCTTCCTGCCCCTTCCAGTAATGTTTCTCTTTTGGGCAAGCAGGGTCTGATTTCTGTCAGCATAGACTGGCTTTGTCAAGTTGAAGTTTATAGATACAGAATCACACAACACATACTTTTATATGTCCAATTTTTCTTACCCAATAGTTCTGAAGTTCATTTCTGTAGCTATATCTTACCATTCCTTTTATTGTTGTTGCTACGTAGTATTCCATTGCATGAACATAACGCAATTTGTCTGTCCTGTTGGGGGACATTTGGACCATTGCAGTTAGGGGGCATTATAAATAAAGCTGTTATAAACATCTCTATTCAAGTCTTTTTGTCTTTATTCAAGTCTTTATTTCTCTTGAATGTGTGCCTAGGAGCAAGCCTCAGGTTTTTTTTAAAGTTGTGTAGTATTCCACTGTAAGTATGTGCTATAGAATAAACAAGTCCCCTGTTGATGGGAATTCTGGTTGTTTTTGTTGTGTTGTTAATGCTGTCATAAATACCTATTTGTGAATACTTATGCATACCTATATGTGAATAATTCTTTCCTAGAATGACATGCTGGGTCAAGAGATGCATATTTAATTCTGAGATGTTGCCAAATTCCTTCCAGAGATGTTGAACTAATGTGTATTCTCATGAACTAGGGATGATCCCTGCTCTTACATAATCTTAGCCACTGTACTAAATCACAATCTTTGCTTATCTGAATGCTATGAGTTCTATTTGCAATTCTCTGTCTTATTTCCCTGATGGTGCTGGGACCTATGCATGCTAAGCAGGCACCATCACTGAGCTACACCCTGAAACATGTATTTTTTAAATACATGAAACATGTATTTTTTAAAGTAATGCTGAGTATTTTCCAAATATTATAATCCATTTGTTTATCTTTTTTGGTAGCGTCCTTGTCTTTTGGCCACTTTCCAAAAAAAGTTTTTGAAAAATACCTTCTCACATTCACTTTAAAGAACTCTTTGTACAGTAAAAAATTAGTCATTTGTCAGAAAATTTTCTATGTTAAGATCTTCTAAGGTTTATTCTTCTTTTTCATTTTTCCCCCCATCTGGGTTCACATAGTTTTTCATAATAATTTCTGAATCAGCTTCTCCAGTGTCAAAAAAAAAAAACCAAAAAACCCTCTGGCTCTCTGGCTGGCATTTACCTCTGGCCATCTCTCCTGTTCCCTCTCCCCTCACTCCAGGGTTTCCTGGCCTCGGTTCTACTGACATCTCAGACTGAATACTTCTTTATTGTAGGATGCTGTTCTGTACCCTGTGGGATACTGAGTGGCATCCTGGCTCCTATGTGCCAGTAGCAGCCCTCTCCCCACATCTAACTGTGACAAGGAAAACTGTCTCATCATTGCCAAATGCCTCCTGGAGGACAAACTCACCCAATACTCAGCACCACCGACTCCCTCGGTTCCAGCTATCTAGAGTATGAAAGGTCTACTCCTGTCCTTATCTTGCCTTAAATCGTTGCTCAAATATATTTCTCAGCCTATTTTAAATTACAGCTCTCCTACCTGCCCCACATCCCCCACACCTGACTTTTCTCTATTGTATTTTTCATCTTCTAGAATACTATATAATTAACTTCTTCCATGTCTTGTCTGTCTCTTCTGTCTCTAAAAATGCAAGCCCCATAAAGGCAAAGAGGGTTTTTTTGTATGTCAGTTTTGATCAACCTTCGATCTCTTGTACTGCTAACACACCTAGTACACAGGGTGCATCCAGTAAATATTGGACAAATGCCTCAGGATGGGTTATTAGATTGAATTAGGTGAAAAACAGTAACTTTACAATGTCATGTCCTATGTAAGAACACTGTATTTGTCTGCACATTAAAGTTTTCTTTTACTCTCCTCCTCAGATGTTTTAAAAGTTTTTTTTAGAAATGAGAAATTTGAGGGAAAGATTCAATAGTAAATATGGGCCCAGACTTTCAAAATTTGTCCTTCAGTGGATTTGGGAAGCTTAAGTGCCTGACATGGGGATGGGTACAGTTTGCCATCTGGGGCCAGGTGAGCCTCAGGCTTGGGGTCTAGAGTTAGGGTCTCTCTTCCCCATCACCCACCCATGCCAGAGTCCCTGGCTCCCAGCTTCTGCTGTAGCTGATAGGGCATCTCACATGTTCACCTCTTCCTTTTTTCTAAGGGATCCTTAGCTGAGGGAAACAGAAGAGACACAGTTCAGGGGAATCCCCCTAAGAGAGGGGTTTTCCCCCAAAGAGCTAGAGGCACCAACTCCAGTGGGTTGGCCTCTGGAAATGGCTCTCTGGAATACCCATGGATTTCTTCCTGTAAGAAGAGATGCTTGTCTCTGCATTCTTTGGGCCAGATGACAAACAGGCAGAGGTCATTTCCTGCCCAGCTCCCTAACCCAACAGAAAGCACTGTCAGATTACCTCTCACACCCACTGTTGCCTTCACCATGGAGTAAAGTGGCTGGGCTGCTGGACGGAGATCGCACCTTAGTAGGCACTGAGAGGCCACGGGTGAAGGGGCCTCTTCTGTCCCCCTAGACTCTTCCACACAGGCCCATCCTGGCCAGGCCTGACTTGCAGGAGGCATCCGCTGGGCTCTTCACTCTCCTCTCTGGCTTTGGTTCCTTACCTGGGTAATGGACACAGCCACTCTTCCAAGGCTCAGAGGACTTGTTCGTGGCAGTGCCAGCCACTACTGCCCCTCCCTGGAGTCTTCTTTCTTGCAGGGCTGAGAAGCCTGCCCACCAGGACCATATGAGTTCCACCCTACCCCAAGATTAACACTGACTGTACCCAAGGTATGCCAGTAACCTGGTGTCACTCAGGGTAGGAGTGAGATCTTAGGCACCAAGCACCAAAGAAATGATAGGGTCCCCTGCATTTAAGTCAGTAGCACCAAATGACATTATGTTTGTGAGTTGAAACCAGTGACACTGACTGTTGGTGTAGGCACTGTTGTATGGTGTCCTGCCTGTGCCCTAGCTAGCCAGTGTTCTGCCTCTGTAACCCCAGCTTTTGTGGAAAGTCCAGCAGCCCTGCTTAGAGCCCAGAACTCCAAGACCTGGGCTGTTTCAGAGCTTTGGCAGGCCAGGCCTATATCCTGCAGGGCGTCTGGGAGCAGCTTCTACCCGCTGCTGGGCTGTGGCAGTGTCCCGTGGTTCACCACTCCACATTTATAGCTACAGTGCTTCTCAGTTTACTGTGCTTGCAGTGGGAGGCCTGGCTCTCTGGAAACCACAGCTGTGGCTTTTCGGGTGTCTGCCTGAGTGTGGGACTATGAGGAAGGCTCGGGCTCGGGCTTGCCCCTATCCCCTGCCTGGAAGCTCACTGAGGCTGGAAGCAGCTGCTCCCATATGGAGGGTTCCTCAGTGCCCCTCCCTCAGACTGGTGTCCTGCGGGAAGCAGGATCCCTTTCAGACAGTGAGGTGCTCCTTGGGGCCCCTGAGAAGAAGAGAGTGGATGGAGAAGATGAGAGTTGTCAGACTGGAGAAAGGACAGATGCAGTGACAAAGGTCCGCCTGGCCCCCGTGATGCCATGCCAGTGCTGTTTTCTGCTGCCAGGAGCCAAGATGGGTCCATCTGGGGCCTCCCAGAGTTGGGGCTGGGCCCTCAATGCGAAATGACTGAGGAAAATTAGAAAACATCAGCAACATTTTTGAGCTGGGTGTGGTGCAGAGCATCTGTAATGCTTGCACTCAGGAGTCTGAGACAGCAGGATTGCCTTGTGTTTGAGGGTAATCTGGGCACACAGTGAGTTTGAAATATAGACGCCAGCCCCTGGGGTATGATGAACCAGTAACTGAGAGGGGTGTGGTGGCATACAACAGTAATCCTAGCACTGAGGAGGCTGAAAACAGGAGGATCACTATGAGTTTGAGCTGTGTAGTGAGACCCTGTACCAAATATATAAATATATATATATATAATATGTAGTGAATTATAGAGCAAGACCCTCTCTCAAAAAAATTATATATATAGTTTCTGAGCTGCAACATTGCTGCTCTAGAATTTTAATTTTCTTCCCTACTGGCTGGGTTTTATAAAAGTCACATTATCAGAATGGCTACCTTGGACTGTCCCTGCCTCACACTGTGACTCAGTTGATCCTCTGCATAGGTCACCCCTTTGACCAGAAGTCTGAAGCTTAGAGGGGTTTAGGGAGGTAGGTGAAATCTCTAAACACCGGCAACTGCAGAGCACTTGGGGGCCAGAAGCCCCGCTCTGTACCATGGCCCTGTATGCTGTGTGAACTAGAGAGTGGGTGCTGGCTCGGGGGAAACAGGGCCTGGCTCTTCTGTGCAGCCAGCTATGACCCTGAGCCACCTCAGTCAGTGGAGGGACAGCTCTCCTGACAGACTCCCCACTTGCCCCCACTCCCATCCTCATATGCGCCAGGGCACTGGGCCTACCTCTGACCTCTCCTCAATAACTCCTGAATCAGGGAGGGAAGGCAGGATGGAGTCTGGGCCCAAACACAAGACAGGCCCCTCGGATGTATGGAAGTTCACACCCTGCAATCGAGGGAAACCCCAGAGGGCAAACAGGGAGGGGAGGCAGGGCAGGTAGGGCCATGATTACTGGGTAGGGTGTGGAAGGGCCCCACAGGAGGGCTAGGTCCACCTTGAGGAGGAAAGGTAGGAGGGCTGCAACCTAAAAATGGAACAGGTTGTCACATAAATAGGATACCTATGGGATGTGTTTCTTTTTTAAAGTTATAATTTGTTTTAGTGTTCTCTAACTCAATAAATAGTCCTGGCATGCCAGCCCCTGGTGGTTTCCGCCCAGTGAAATGGGCAGCTGACTAACTCAGGTCATGGTGGTCTTCATGTGAGTCTGAAGCAGTGTTTATGGTGAGTGTGTGAGACTGTGTGTGAGTGTGCACTTGCACCGGCAAAGAGCATTTCAGTTCTACTTTTAGTGACCCTTGCTAGATACCTAGTCTGGGCTGAGGACTGGGATCACAGAGCAGAGCCATGCCCTGTCCCTGCCCTGGAGGACAAATGCAAGTCAACAATCATCCTACAGATTGGTATAGGCAAGTCAAAGTTAACTTGACCTGAGTGAACTAGAAAAGGCTTCATAGGATGGATTCATCCTATTCTTCATAGGATGCAGCAGTTTTGAAAACATGTAATTGGGCTTTCCTTCTTTCTGAGGAAGAATAGTTACTGAGCACCTACCACATTCCATGTGTTGACCTAGTAGAAAACAGGCATGATACTTACCAGGGAAGTCTAGCAGGAGATAGTTATGTGGATGGCGACAATACAATGTTTCAAGAGTAAAAACAGGTATGTATGCAAGATACCCTAAGATGAAAAGACCATTTCTCTATGT